TGGTGGCACACGCCTTTAATCCCAGCACTCGGGAGGCAGAGGCAGGCGGATCTCTGTGAGTTCAAGGCCGGGCTGGACTGATATCCTCCAAAACAATACAGAGAAATCCTGTCTCGTAAAAACAAAACAAACAAAAAAGAATTCACAAAATAGAACACCAAATGTATGAGTTTTTTTTCAGGTTTGGAGGCTCACATCTATCATTGTAGAACTGGGAAATCTGGGGGTGGGAGGATTATTATAAATTTGAAGATAGCCTGGGCTATGTTGTGATTTCCAGGCATCCAAAGCTACAGAATGCGACCTGTTCCATCAAACAAAGGTGTGTGTCTTGAAAACATTTATTCAGTAGCAGCTCTACAAAAGCTGTGGTTTCAGTCATAAGTCATCATGAAGCCTTGATATGATTAGAGTTTTTCTTAAATCAAGTCTATTCATTCTGTATCATGGAGAAAAGAGGTGTGTTATGTGTGTTTGTGGACACAGTCACATGATTGTGGATATGAGACTTGCATTGGGGTTTGCTTCTGTTATTTTCTACCTTGTCTTTTGAGAGAAGGTTGTTCCTTGAAGCAGGAGTGAATCAATTCTGCCACTGTCTGAATAGTGAGACTCCAGGATCCTCCTGTCTTCTCCTCCCCAGAATTGTGATTAAGGGAGAAGCACCCAGCTTTTCTTTAATTAACTAATTTTACTTTATGTGTATGAGTGGTTTCTCTCAATGTGTGTCTGTGAAACATCTGCAATCCTGGAGCCCTCAGAGGTCAGAAGAGGGAGCTGTGCAGATGGCTGAGGTGAGCCAATATGTGGGTGTTGGGGATTGGATGTAGGTCCTCCTATTAAGTGTACGAAGTGCTCTTGAACACTGAGGCATCCCTCCATGCTCCCACACCCACCTTTTTAAGTGGGTGCTTGAGATCTGACCTCAGTCTGTTTTCTTGCACTGCAAGGAGGTTACCAGATGGGCCATGGCCCTAACCCTAACAAGGCAGGTTTGATCATGGCAAAGAAAGCACCATATTATTGCTTTGGATGAAGAGGAAGGGTTGCAATCCATTCACCAGGAATTCCATATCAGGATCACAAAGATCCTGTTCTTGGCATCTGAGAAGCTAGATGCTATTTTTCCAGGCTGCGTGGATGCTTCCCAATGGACTGTGTCTCAATGCCAATGTAACCGTCTTTTCTCCCATTACTATCTCCAGATCTCAGTATAGTTAAATTTTATTTTACCATGTCCTATTAATTAAATTGGTCTTTTACTGAAATGCACAGATGGATTTGTATAAAGAGATATGTAATATTTTATGTTTTCTTTCATACCAAAGATAGTGACAATAAAAATAAATTTCTTTTAAAATAAAACTAAGTACCAGGAAGGAGATTTTATATTAAACAGTACTGTTTAGAGACATATATTTATGGGGAAAAATTAAAATGGTATCATCTTTATTTAACTCTTTTTGGGCACCAAAATGTCAGGCTTTCTTGTCAGCAACCTTTTGCAGTTTTGTTATTTTCTTTTCATGAAATGAATTATATTTTCTAGGAGGAGTATAGTTGCAGACAGATGTTGATCAATGTGCCTTTCAAATTGTCTTTGGAAAAAAATGGACACATCCATTTTGTCATAGAAACAACAAGGATAGAAAGGCTATAGGATCAGAGTGAATAGAAACTACTGGGTAGAATTGAAATAATTTTAGTATTTTCACTAAATGTGAGCATAAAGTGGAAAGCTACTAATTTACTCTCACTTTTCAGAAACCATACTCTGCTAAAAATGAGAAACTAGTTTGCAATTTAAAAATACCTGAGCATAAACTGAATACAATGGTGCATACCCAAGGCTTCGGGAATTCTAAATCCTGGAATAGATGTCTCAAAAGCAAGGATTTATAGCTCGCCTGAGCAACATAAGGGACTTTTATCTCATTAGCATATCTTTTTTCCCCCCACCTGACTGTGGGCAGCGCCACCCTTGGGACAGGGCCTTGACGACTGAAAGCAGAAATGCCATATATATGTGTATATATTGCCATATGTGGTATACACTGGTATGTTCTGGTTAAAGATTCTCTTTTATATAAATTATTAATTTATTCAACTTTCTTTCCTATAGTTTCTTGCCAACTCACTTCCTTTAAATTAATATGCTTTCCCATTTTTTCTTTGTCCCTTTTACCCTGAGATGTGTTATGCATGTCTTTGAAGGATAGATAGAGTTTGCTTAGGAGTAAAGAACCGTCTTTGCATATGGAATCTTCTTATCTTCACTATGTTATTTTTAATAGTAGCTTTAGAGATACAATTCAATTTATTGGAAGGAAATTAAATTTAAAGGCTGGAAATGTAGCTCAGTCGGTCTGGTTTTTTGCCTAGCATGTACAAGACCCTAGATTTGCATTAACCAGATATGATTACACATGTTTGTAATCCTAGAACTAAAGAGGTAGAGGAAAGATTATCAAAAGTTCCAGGTCATCCTCTGCTACTTAGTGACTCAAATCCAGTTAGGCGACATAAGATCCTATCTCAGAAATTAGTAAGTAGATAGATAGATAGATAGATAGATAGATAGATAGGTAGAATTTTAAAATTAGTGAAAAAGGAAGAAAATAAATTTGCCTCCACTGGATTGATACTTAAAATATCAAAGAGTGTTAAACAAAATTCTCGTCCCTTCAAAACTTGATTTTATAGACCTATATTGTGAATGCAGTATTTGGAATATGAATCACTATTTGTTTTTCATTCCATTTGTACCAAATTTAATCACTTTTATTAAATTTGTCCCTGCAAGTTTAATGAGAAACAGTGGTGTTGATTAAAGTACAGAAGGAGAAGAAAACAAATAACATATTTTCAATCATAACATATATAAAATTTTAATTTTAAGAAGTAAGGATGTTTGAGTCTAAAAATAACTTTGAAATAAATAAAATATTAACAGTGCTCTCAGAAATCACCTAATTATTTGATGGATTTGTTTTTAAAAACACTTTTATCAAGTCTTTACAAAGCCTAAGTAGTGTTCTATGCCCTGAAAATGTATGATTGAATAAAGGGGACAAATGTTCTGCCTTATGAGTGCTATTGTCAAGAAATAAAACAACACAACTATTGTTTCATTTAGTTTTCCTATTGCTTTAAGTAACACACATACACACACACACACACACACACACACACACACACACACACACATACACTCCATCACATGCTCAAAACATCTATAAATTAGGATCTACTCCAGAAAAACAAACAAAATAATCTCTCTAGGATTTATGAAGGAATTTTACTCAAACTCAATGGTTAGATGTCAAAAGTAAAAGAAGGACAGAGAGGAAGCAATGAGGTAACTGCCATGTTTCACTCTTAGAGCAAGGTATCAAAGAGCATCAGGTTTTGGAGAGATACATCTAGACACAGAGTCTGAGGTGACTAGCAGATCCCCAGAGGCTAGTAGATCTGGGAGACACTAAACCTCCATCATTTGCCTTGCAGTCTTCAATAGTACCTTCCATTGTCCAAACACCATGAAACTTGGCCAACACTGACTAGACCACTGGTGATGCAGAGCAGAACAGGGAAAGGAGATGAGTGTCTCTGAGAACACACAGACTAATCTGGCACGTCTTCCAACCTTCTGTGTCCTATTAATTTCCGCCTGAATTTCAGAAATGCTATTCTGTACCTATGTAAAATTCCCCTTGAATGTGAAAACCACACATTCTACTAAAGATGTAAACTAACAAACTTGATTGCTGCCATGCATTCCTATGTACTAACAAACTAAAGTGAGACCTCCTTACATTTCTCTGCTACAGTGAAAACTAAAATTTAGTCTTAAGCATTAAATTAGTGATTCACCATTTATTTTTCTCCTATCCCAGCACACTGCAAACAATGATTTTGATCTGATTTGTTTTATTATTCTTATTATTTGTCTTGTTTTGGAGATAAGTTCTTGCTACATTTCCCAGGCTGGTCTTAACTCCTGTATTTAAGTCTGTTCCTAACTTAACCTCCAGAGTAAGAGAAATTTTACCACCCAATATATCTATTGTATATGAAAGTCATAGCTTTAAAATCATAGATTTTCCATTGTTTCCACAAAGGGCACCCCAATTCAAATCACAACTACAGTTAACATGTACATATGTAAGTTAATGTGTATGTGTGTGTGTGTTGTTTATGTTCTAATGTTTTGTGTTTTATTCTATAGACTAGACTCAAATTCTTGGAAATTCACCTTCTTCCAATTCCCAAGTGCTGAGAACAAAGGTATGAGCCACCATACAGGCCTATATTCTTTGCTAGCCGCTTTGGTTTATCTCCCGCCAGTTGCCTGGGCTCTGCCGCTTTGTAGTCCCCAAATAAACACACAAGACGCTGTATTAATTATGAAGCTGTTGGCCTTGCTTGTTTCTCACTGGCTAGCTCTGACTTAAGTAATTACCCCATAATTGTTAATCTAAGTATTTCTCTTACCGGAGAATAGTTCCGGGCTTCCGACCCTATGGCGTTACATGTTGACTCTTTCTGTGTTTCTCCTTCCCAGAATCCTCCTGGACTCCTAGTCCCACCTATCTAGATTCCTATTGGCCAGACAGTCTTTATTGACAAATGCACAGGACTTCCCCCAACAGCTTTATATTTTAGATTCTTATATTCACAGAAAAACCGAGTAAAAGTTATACAGATTTCACATTTCTGTCTTGAAGTTATTGATGTTCAGCCTCATCCTTTATCAGTGTCTCCCATCAGAAGATACATTTGTCAAAAAATTTGGACAAAATTGGCCAATGTTGTCTAGACTACATAGTTTTATGTGTACTCTTAGCATATTGTACATTTTGTGGTTCTACATGAATGTGGTTCCATACACTCATGACTAACGTTTCTGACACTGCACTCTTACTTGCTAAAAGATTTTGTGTTCCACCTACTAATTTTCCTTCTCCTAACTTCTTTTGATCTTGAATGTTTTCACTGGATATGTGTTTCCAAACATCATTGCTTGAAATCTATAATATATGGGCTTTCAGTTTGGTGAGGGAACCCAACTGAAACATGATATATACTATATGTGGATATATCTTTATATCTTCTCATTGCTGTATAGCTCTTTTCTTCTTAGTGCTGATCAAAATTCCAGTATCCAAATGTGTCTGTTTTTCCATTCTGAATTTCCATTGTACCTCTTTTTTAGTCTACTATTGACCATCATGAAAACATGTATAAACATCTTTTCAGGAGAAAGCATTTTGCTCATGTCTTCAGCAGTTTTATATCATGGTCAGTTGACTAGATTGTTTCTCGTATTTCATAACGCAGAGGACTGTGGCAGAGAGGCATGTTGGAGCTAAACAACTCACCCTGTGAGAGAAAGGAGTCAGACAGGTGGATAGGATAAAGGTAGCCTTTGAAAGCTTCTCTGTGAAAGACCTACTCCCTCTACTTAGAATTTCCACTACATCCCAATAATATCATGCAATTGCAAATCCATCAACATGTGGATTGTTCCGCTGATGAAGTAAGAACCCTCTTCATCCAATTATTTCCCAATTATTAGGTCCCACTGCTCTCATTATTATAGTGTTGGGATTAAGCCTTAAAAACATTAACCTACCAAAAGATACTTCATTTTTAAATGACAATGTCTTCTAAATTTTCTCCTGTGGCTGATTATATTGTTCAAAGATGACCAAAGCATATAAATTATGGATGTAAAACATATATAAGACATAGACTAAGTTGCTTAGACACTGTGTGTGTGTCTGTCTCTCTGTGTGTGTGTGTGTGTGTGTGTGTGTGTGTGTGTGTGTGTGTGTACCCATATGATGCTGGGGGAAAATTGAATGACAAAATAAGAAGAAAGCTAAAGATCCAAATTTGCCTCTTTGCGGATGATATTTCTCTAAGATCAAATCGATGGTTTAATAAACTGACTAACATACTAAAAATTACTGACAAGTATACTGGAAGAGTATATGGTATGCAAATTTTATACTAGAATATTTTTGTAGAAACCCTACAAAAATTTATCGGTACTAACTTAAACAGTGGAATTGCTAGTTCTCAAAGTGTTTCTCTGATTTTACTTTCTCCTAGAATTGGTTCCAAACTATTTTACTAGGCCCTTAACCTTAGAATAAACTGTAAAGTTACAACCTGCCCACCAGGAAGAGAAGATCTTTTTATACTTCCTCCAAGACCCTCTGCTTCAACACTTTGAAGGTTGCATTGCTTCATATGGTTTGAGTTTACTCTGCCAGTGATAGCATCAGACCCAAACCAGTACCTAAAGACTCTGATAACATATCTTCCCATATTTCCATGATCCTCACCTTTCAGATCTCAGCATAGAAACTGATATTTGACAGCAGATTCACACATTGTCCCCTTGTCACTCTTTTATTCAACACCTTATTTTGACTTTGTAACACTTTTAACATTGCAAATCATTCCCGGGCTATGTTTTATTTGTTTCCACATGTTATCTTTTTTTCCACAAGGATTTGAGCTCCACAAGAATCCATATCTAATCTTTTGATCATTACTTTGCAATACCTGGAAGTGTACAGAGTACATGGTTGTTAAATATTTATTCAATGAGGAATTATTTGCTCTTAATTACATTCTTACATTTACCCTGCAACAAAAAATAGACCTTTAAAACAGTGCATATGTATGCTCTAACCTTCCTTCTCATCTTCCTAGGCTCAATGCCGACTGTTTTTATAGAAGTCTAGTGTTACACAGTGAGAAACATCCTATTCCTAGCTGACTGCTCTACAATCCATATCACTGGTATTCCCATAGCTCCAGAAATGAAAATAATTTACCATTCGTGTCTTTCCTGTGTATGACATATGAGGACAAAGTAGACATGTAGCAGAAAATGTGAATGTATTACTTCTTGCTTGGTGCTCCCAAAGTCATCAAATCAGTCAACTAAGGGAGAATATATACCAACCTTATCTTCTAGAAAACTTCTGAAACTCTTTTTTCTGCTATAGGAGCATCACTTCCACAGGGATGGGGAAGTCCTGTGTACATATAAATAAATCACTGTTGGCCAAATAGGGAAGCAAGATAGGTGGGACTAGGAGTCTAGGAGGATTCAGCGAAAGGAGCTGTTGCCATGTGATTCCCAGGAAGAGGGGACACAAGTCTGAGTTCTCGTAAAGATAAATCCTTATAAAATATATATTGGTGATTATGGGTCAATAATTAAGTCAGAGCTAAGCTAGCCAATGAGAAACAATAACAAATGGCCAACAGCTTATAATTAATATAGTGTCCTGTGTGTTATTTGGGGGCTGAAACTGCAGCAGGGCCCAGGGAGGTGGCAGAAAGACAACACGATACTCCACAGGGTCTCTGAGAAGGTATAGATCTCAGTGGTGTATTCTAGTGTTGAATACTTCCTTATTTGCATGGAATTGGTCTAGGAGAGATCATCTAGTTACCTGAAACCATCCATTCAACTCCTACTCTGGGATAGCTCATAATCACAGGCAATAGTCCTGACTTTAAAACCTGACAGGAGAAGCCTGTCATGCAATGCATGTGGATAGAAGAACATTCTAGCTTTATCAGTCTTCAATAATGTTATGTTATTTAATAATTATTGGTTTACACTTTGGCTTCTCTTGAAGAAAAAGGACTATGACCTGCTTAATGTAATGGCTTTTTTGTCCCAGTATCTTTAATAAATGGATAGGATAATATATATTACTAATAATATATAAACAGAATATCACACTAATTGCTTTCCCCCTCTATTTGTCACTCCATACTACACAAAAGATAATGAAGATTAAGAAAGGATAAATAATTCATACAGACACAATTCACAGGTTGAATAGACATTTCCATTCAGTCTGTCTGAGTCCAGAATTATTAAAGACTAAATTTCATCTTAATTTTCAGAAAGAGTTAATAAATGAATACACTAGGACCCAATCCTCCCCAATAGTGAAACACTTGAGCAGCAACTCAGAAAATCTTCACTTCCCACCTCAATAAGTGTATAGAATTGGGTATATTAGCTCACTTTTCTGGAGCTGCTTGTGCTGTTTATTTGTTTATGGATATATAGCTCATCCTTTACTATTAAAGTTAATGAGTTGATTATATAAGTCATATCACAGTTAACATTGCAAGCAACCTATTATTAGTATCTATTTAAAGATGTGTAATCAAAAGTCTGTTATCCTTTACAAAATAGTTTTTACTCAGTGTTAAAAATATAAATGTGTCAATTGCTAAAAATAAGAATTTCCATTTCTTATTCAGTATATGAATTCATCATTGTATGGAATTGAATTTAATTCAGGCTGATAGAAGTTCTTACTAAATAGACTATTATATGTCATCAAGAGGAGAGATAATGAAGAATATTAGCACCCTGAAAATTATATATTATTTGTACTCATATGTCTGAACCAAAGGGCTGAACATAACTGTACGTGTGTGTCCTCAAGAGGTTGAGTAGGTCATGGTCCTACCATGCATTTGTCCACAAAAATGTAATTTACTATTAATAGTTTTAACAGTATCTATAAGGTTTAAATTTTTGTTGTAATTGTCTTATATAAACTCTTATATAAACACAGTTAAGAATATTGCTCTGTTCAGTAAAAGTTCAAATTCAGGATTTTATTCATTCTCTTATACTAGGAACAATAATTCCCTTAACAAAAATCAGAGCTTTCCATTCTTCTAGTACTTATTATGAAATGATTAGAGCTTTTATGTATGAACATAACACTAACTTTATAGTATAAAATCAATAGATGCTTTTAGAAATCAAATAACCTTGAGTGATAGAAAATACAGTAGTAAATTCTAGCTGCCTAACTAAAAATAAATGTCCATAAAGCAAACATATTAAATGGCAATTGTGTTTTGGAGAATGTCAGAGAGCACCGAGAAGTATCAAGACTCTGAAATTCCATCTTATACCTCACAGAATAGCTAAGATTAAAAAAAACATATGACAGTTTATGTTGGAAAGGATGTGGCACAAGGAGAACATTCCTCTATTGTTAGTGGGAGTGCAAACTTGTACAACCATTTTGGAAATCAATATGGCAGTTCCTCAGAAAATTGGGAATCAATCTACCTCAAGACCCAGTTATATCACCCTTGGGCATATACCCAAGGAATTCTCAATCATAACACAAGAAAATTCAATTCACTCAACTATGTCTTGTTCATAATAAGCAGAACATGGAAAAAACTTAAATGCCCTCAACCAAAGAATGAATAAAGAAAAAGTAGTACATTTATACAATGGAATATTATATAACTGCTAAAAACAATGACATCAGAAAATTTGAAGGCAAATGTAAGGAACTAGAAAATATCATCCTGAGTGAAGTAAAATAAACTCAGAATGATTCATGATATATAATCATTCATAAGCAAATATTAGCTGTAAAGTAGAGAATAACCATGCTATAATCCATATACCTAGACAGGTTAGGTAAGAGGAGGACCCAAGGGGAGATGAATTGATATCCCTGGGAAGTGCAAATAGAAGAGATCTCCTGGGTAGGTGAGTAAGGAGTGAGGAGGTGGAAGATTTGGGGGCTTGGGAAGATGGGAACTTGGGGGATCATGCTGAGGAGTAGATGGAGGGAGACAGTACTGAAAGAGGTAACTGGAAAGAGGGAGAATTTCAGGGTCATGTAGAAACCTGATGCAAGGGAAACTCCCATAGATTTTCAAGGATGACCCCAGCTAAGACTTCTAGCAATAATGGATATATAGCCTGAACCAGCCACCTCCAGTGATAATATTGGTAACTACACCAATTGTCATCAGAGAGCCTTCATCCAGTAACTAACGTAATCACATGCAGAGACCCACAATCAAACATTAGGCTGAACTCGGGAAATCCTGAAGAAGAGAGAGAAGAAGGATTATAGGATCAAGAGGGGTCAAAATCATCGCAAGAAACCCCACAGAAATCTACCCTAGCTAATTGGAACTCACAGAGTCTGAACCAACAACTAGGGAGCCTGCATTGGACCAACCTAAGCCATCTACATATATGTAACATTAGTTGAAGGTTTTGTATCCCAGACACTCTGGCAGTGGGATTGTAGGCTGGCACTCCCCTGATCCATGTCTAAAATCCATATATGAGTGAGTAGATACAGTGTGATTTTTTTGTGACTAGGTTCCTGCACTCAGGATGGTTTCTTCTAGTGCTGTCCATTTGTCTGCAAATTTCAAGATTCCATTGGTTTTTTTTTCTGCGGAATAGTACTCCATTGTGTAAATGTACCACATTTTCTCTATCCACTCTTCAGTTGAGGGGCATCTATGTTGCTTCCAGGTTCTGTCTATTACAAATAATGCTGTTATGAACATAGTAGAACAGACATCCTTGTTGTATGAATGTGCAACTTTTGGGTATATGCCTCAGAGTAGAATTGCTGGATCATGTGACTTTGCTGATTCCTATTTTCCAGAGGAATCTCCATACCAATTTCCAAAGTGGCTGTATAAGTTGGCACTCCCACCAGCAATGGAGGAGTATTCCCCTTTCTCCACATTCTCTCCAGCATAAACTGTCATTGGTGTTTTTGATTTTAGCCATCCTGACAGGAGTAAGATGGTATCTCAGAGTTGTTTTGATTTGCATTTCCCTGATGGCTAGGGATATTGAGCACTTTCTTAAGTGTCTTTCAGATATTTCAGACTCCTCTATTGAGAATTCTTTTTTTTTCGAGGCAGGGTTTCTCTGAGGCTTTTGGAGGCTGTCCTGGAACTAGCTCTTGTAGACCAGGCTGGCCTCGAACTCACAGAGATCCGCCTGCCTCTGCCTCCCGAGTGCTGGGATTAAAGGCGTGCACCACCAACGCCCGGCCAAGAATTCTTTATTTAGTTCTGTAGCCCACTTTTTAATTAGATCCTTTTGTGTTTTGGAGTCTTGCTTCTTGAGTTCTTTGTTAATTTTGGGGATCAACCGTCTGTCAGATGTGGAGTGAGTGCATATCTTTTCCCATTCTGTGGACTGCCTTTTTGTCTTGTTGACAGTGTCCTTTGCCTTACAGAAGCTTCTCAATTTCAGGAAGTCCCATGTATTAATTGTTGACCTCAGTGTCTGTGCTACTGGTGCTATGTTCAGGAAGCTGTCTCCTGTACCAATTTGTTCAAGGGTACCTCCCACTTTCTCTTCTAAGAAGTTCAGTGTAGGTGGATTTATGTTGTGGTCTTTGATCCATTTGGACTTAAGATTTTTGCATGGTGATACACATGGATTTATCCGCATTCTTCTACATGCTAGCATCCAGTTCTGCCTGCAGCATTTGTTGAAGATGCCTTTTTTCCACTGTATAATTTCAGCTTCTTTGTCAAAGACCAGATGTTCTATGTGTATGGGTTAATATCGGGGTGTTCAATTAGATTCCATTGTTCTGCCTGTGTATTTTTGTGTGAATACCAAGCTTTTTTCAGGACTATAGCTCTTTAGTAGAGCTTGAAGTCAGGGATGATAATGTCTCAGGGGATTGCTTTGTTCAATAGAGTTGTCTTGGTTATTCTGGGTCTTT